CCGCGCGCGCCGCCGCCCGCGTTCGCCATTGGCTGCGCCCGCCAGGCCCCGCACTGCGGGCTTCTCCCCGCGCCGCTCTCGCCCCACATCTTGTTTCCTCCCACAATGCCTCGGGGCTCAGGGAGGGGTGGAGAGGGAGAGCTGAAAGGGGCGGGGGGAGAGCTGAAAGGGGCGGGGGGAGGGAGAGGTGGCCTTAGGAAGAGAAAAAAGAAGAATGCAGACCCTTCAACCCATGCTGGAGACTCCAGGCTTAGAAAGGGATAAAGAGACTAGGCCCAGGGAAAGGGAGGGACGTGGAGACCCCATCCCAAGGAGAAAAAAAGAGAGATGGACATATTAAACCCAGGGCACAGATGGAAAAGGGATGGAAGGAGAGCTCAACCTTAGGGAAAGAAAGGGGAAGGTGAAGTAACCAGCCTCTAGGCGACAGGAGGAGAGGGACCATCTATGGAGGGGAGAGAAACTGCCAGCCCTATGGAGAGTAAAGACAGAAACAGCGCAAGGGCTCCCTCCCGTCCCCTTATTCTGGGAAGGAAGATGCCTTTCCCCAGCTCAGCCTTTGTTCTTGAGCTTGAAGGACACAGGACATAAACTAGGCCCTAGCTTGTATTTCTCTTAAAAAGCAACCAAGGCAGACCCTAAACAAAATGGTGAGTGGCAAGGTTACTCTATGGCACACAGGCCTCTGCTGTTTTGGGACAGGATAGATGAAAGTAAGCCATTTTTGGTCCATGTGTATCTGTCTAGGGCCTTAGTTTCTGCCTTTAACCTGTTAGATTTCAGGGAGAGTGAATAAATCCTTTAGAGGCACATCAGAGCTGAGATGAGCCTTAAAAACCAACTTCACCCGTATCCTTTACTTCATTAAGGAGGGAACCAGGATTTCAGAGAGGGGAGAGCCCCTGCTACATCACCACAGGTCTGCCTACACTGGGCTTCTAAGCTGAAAAGTGATGCTTCCAGGAGCAGCTCCTCTGGTGGCTGAGGAAACTGTGGGAATGTGTGTGTGTGA